CATACATGCAGATGTAAAGTCGGTAGGAGGGTTTTCGTAGAAACTGCATCACCAGAATCTGGTAAACATGACGGAGGTGTTTCGCCGAAGGAGGCGATTCTATCTGGTATTGGAGTATCTCGACCACACGTTGCTCGACGAGCTGGAACGCGTCGGACACGGTCTAGGTACGGATCTCTCCAAGCGGCACGTTTATCAAATGCTTCGAGGGTTGAGCTACTGCCATGGGAAGAACGTGAGTGGGCAGAGGAGACACACTGGGCAGTGACACTTGGCGCTAGAGACACTTTCCACCGTAGATAATGCATCGCGACGTCAAGCCCGAAAACGTGCTGATCTCTCGGAGCGGAGTGATCAAGCTGTGCGACTTCGGGTTCGCTCGGCTCGTCAACGACCCCAACGAATCTTGCACCGACTACGTCGCCACCAGATGGTATCGAGCACCGGAACTGCTGGTCGGCGATCCGCGATACGGCAAAGCGGTCGACGTCTGGGCGATCGGCTGTCTCTTCGCGGAAATGCTCCTCGGGGATCCTCTCTTTCCTGGCGACAGCGACGTTGATCAGCTCTATCGAATCACCAAAGTGCTCGGTACGCCGACTCTTCCTCCGTCTTCCTCTCTACGACAACCACGTTCTTTTCAGGCGGCCTCTGTACCAAGCACCAGGCGATAATGGGCGGCAGCGGGCCTGACCGGATCTTGCGGCACGCCAGCGCCGACGAACTGGTAGACCCGCCTCGGTCCACCGTCACTTCCATTCGCATCCTATTTCCCACCTGGGACTCGCTCGCCGTTCACTTCCTCGGCCAATGCCTGACCATGGATCCCGACCTGCGGCCCAGATCTTCCACCCTCTTGCAGCATCCCCTCTTTCTGCAAAACGGTTTCGCCGACCAACTACTCGCGGACCTGCACCGTCATTACCTGCCGAGCAACCAAACCGAGTCCTCCACGACCGCTTCCCGCCCTCTTCGCACCTGGAACATCACTATTCCCTCCATCCCGGAGAGCGTTCTCGAACCAACCGTATCGAGGGCGTTGCGCCCCGATAGACCTAATCTTCCGAACCTTCGCGTTCTACCGCTTCGCTTGGATCCTCTCTCCGCGATGCCGGATACGCGGTACATTCGTAGATCGAAGCAGAGAGACGGACAGAACTGCCTGCGCCTTGCCCTCCCTCGTAAACTGCGAAAGGAAGAAATTCAACTTTGAGAACTTTTACTCAACGAGCGGATAGACTTTACGTCTTCTGTCCGGCGGCCCGAGAGGGCCGAGGGTTACCCTCCGAACGTTACCGATTCAACCTTCGATAAGATTACAACGTTAGCAGTGGTTGGAATTAGAATGAAACCATGAAATTACGAATAAAAAAGCATGTCGTGTGAGTCTCGATCGATACGGTAGAACGATGGTAACGGGGTTCTAGGATCCCCCGGCTACTGTGACGAAAGAATACATTGGACGAGCAAAGCCTGTTCTACATCTTCACCATGATTTCACTATCGACGATAAAATATGGATACACCATGTTGCGGATGCGTTATACGTTGAACAGGCAATAAAACACACACAATCTCCGAATTAATGTACTTTAAGTAAGTAAGTAAGTAAGTACTTATTTGCATGGGCACGTAAGAATAGTACTAGAGAAACGAGTAAAGCAAGGAAAGGAATAGGGGTAGACTGTACATGGATAAGTATATAGAATAGCATTGAAGGAACGAGTTAGACGAGGAAAGGGATATGGATAAACAAGGGTAACAACATTATCGCGTGTTAGGGGAAGCGAGACTAGCGCCATCTAGCGTCTGGCGACTCGAATTACGATTTTTTAATAGGAACACAGAATATAAACATAGGTACTAGACAAGGACAGAGAGAAAACGCTTCCTATTGGCTGGCGGGCATTCAAGCTCCACTAATCACGGTCTAAACCAAGTCGGTCAGTGAGAAATCATTAATATCTCATTAATTACGATGATTCTGTGAACTTTTAGAATTGAAGAATCAAGTGTGGTCCTTGGGCAACTTTCTGATATAAGCTTTAAGATGCTAGGCCGTTTCGATAATTAGATATTAATGTACCTTTTCGGTTTTTCAATAATTTCATAGCTTTCTACTAAATTCTCTTGCAACTAGCTATACGCGTTCGAAACGCAACTCTTTTAGCTACATTCGTTTACAATCTTTATTAACATATCCTTTGTGGTTTGATAGTTATTTAATATTCTTTGGGTGAGTATTACAGGCGTTGCATTCAAGCGTAACACATTTTCGTTATTTCAATGGAAATGCATGATTAATTGTGAACTTTCAAGCATGTAGAATGTAGAATCGACTTTTCCTTATATTCTTCGATTAGTTTGATAACCGTAAGTGCTGTGGTTTACTAGATATTAGCAATTCTTTGTAACAGTTGACAATACTCAGGTACTTACTTATGATGTACAGGGAACACTCTCGTATAACGTTTAATAACTCCTAAGCTAAATGGTCTATGTTAATAAAAATTATATGGGAATGTAGCCAAAGGAGTTACCTTTCAGACGCGTATAGTTAGTTGTACGATGAAACTATTGAGAAAGTATGCGGTATCGTTCCCGACATCACGTACTAAAATTCTTAATAACTAATTATTGAGACGGTTTAGTGCGCTAAAAGCTATATGTGAATGTTGCTGAAGGTTCACGCTATATTTTGCAATTCTAAAAGTTCACAAAATCAATGTAATTATCGAGTTATTAATGATTCTTCCCTGACCGACTTTATTGGTCCGTGGGAGGTGAAGCAATGGTTCCCGCCAGCCAATAGAAAACGTTCTCTCTCTGTCCTTGCCGCACACTAGTGCTATCCTTATCTAATACCTCTGTTTATATTCTGTAATCCTGTTAAGAAATCGTATTCCGCGTCTCTAGACCTCGCTAGATGGTGTTAGGTTACAGCCGCCATTTTTGTTTCTGTCCTTGTCTAACACATTGCTGTAGTGCTATTATTGTCTACCCCTATACCTTTCCTTATCTAACACGCGGTAGTATTGCCGTCCTTGTCTAACTCATTATTATCGTGCTATCTATGGATTCATGAAGATTCAGACCACCACAGAAATTATGTAGAGGATTACAATATCGGGAAAAATGAAAATAAAACCGATTATTTATTACTAAATTAGTGTAGAAAATGTATTTTACAGTCTATTTATATATTTCTTCCTTACGCACCACATCCATTTTCGTTTGTGAAACACTCGTTCTTTAAATAATATTCCATTGCAAAATTGAACCAACTAAATCGAGAAAGTATGGGAAGTATAGAATTGATAAATGACGCGTGGAAGGTAAAAGGATACAAATAAAAAGTATAATTTCAAAGATCACATTTAAATTGCTATTTAATATTATCATTTTTACCCTGTGTATTACTTATTAACGCGATATTCTACTTATTATCAAATATAATTCGTATAAATAATATAATACTTGTGTAATATTATGCATAATGCAACATGACGCAGTAAATTATAATAGAATATAACGCAATGTAACAAAATAAGAATATAACCTTATAAATTATTCGTATAACTTATACCGTGTCATAATTTAACCTGGTGTTATAAGTATAATAAAATGAAATATTATTCTAACGCGTTAAGTAGGAATTTTATAAATGTACTGGAAAGAATGTGGAAATTAAAACTGACTGTAATTATGAAAATTTACAATCAACTTTACAAGAAGCACGGCAAGTAGCAATTGTTCTGTGTATCCATAGTATACTTGTAACATTAGAACATATTTCATTGGACAATTTGCATCGATCTTAAAACTAAAAGTATTTCAATCTTGGATTAACGACAGTTGATGGAAGCATTGTCATTGTGACTCCATTCTCCAAAGTTCTCCATCTTCTGTAGTATACGCATACCTGATCCACGACAGAAAGTAATAGTAGTAAGTAAAAGTAGTAATCAGAGTATTTTAGTGAATTTTCTGCAAGAATTCGTCAAATTAGGTGAACAGATGAGAAAACATTCATTTCAGAATGCGCACACATCGATAAGTTTATAAATGACGTACTGCCGAATGTTTAATTAAGTAATGAAAATCTGAAGATTGTTAGTACTCTATTTGCTAGTAGAATGCATGTAGAAACTTGTTAAACAATTTTACCGTCTGATATTAATTGACCGTTAAGAAATGAAAACGTACCTGGTTCAAGGGGTCGACCGTCGACGGGCATCATTTTTATTCCGCAACTGCTTAAAGATATAGTTTACGAATCTAACCTAAAAGAATAGTTCTGTCAAAGGAAGACTCGGTCCGCTGTTAGGATAAGAGAGAGAATTTCAGTTAACGAACTGAAAGGATATAGAGAATAACGAAATGGAATTATGTGCTCGTTTAGCAGAGAATTTATACATCTTACGTAACTTTAATCCTTTTCTCTTCCAGATAAAAGCTCGTCCTCCTCGAATTGTAGGTAATTAACGCGGAACTCGAATGATTTTTCAGGCCGTCGTTATTCGCTTCTAACGGAGAAAACGATGAGAAGATGGGTGACGTGATAATAAATTGGGACGGATTACGAATGGATTAGAGAATAGAAAAAAAGAGGGAAGAAGGGAAGACAGAGGTGTAAGATAGTTATGTCCATACTTATGTACGTACAGTCGGCCGCATAAGTGTTCGTCCTCGTACCGCACTCATTGTATCTGTAGGTAAAAGAAGGAAAATATGCAGATGAAATTTGAAAACGAAATGCAAAAATGAAGCTTAATTTATACAAAATAAAATGACATTTTGCGGGATTCATAACTGTTATACATAATGAAAAATTAAACGATGTATCATAATGTGGCGGGAAACTCGAACGCAAAAGTGTTCGTCCACTTACAAACTAATGAACTTATTATTATACAAAATTGCCATTACTACTCTTAATACTTAGTATGGTACCCTTTAGATGAAATGATGGCTTTTAGACGTTTGAGCATTGTTTTTACTAACTTTTCTGTAAAGTCTGGTGGTATTTTTCCCCATTCCTCTATAAATCGTTGTTTTAAGTCATCACGATTTTTCGGCGGTGATTTGCGAATATTTTTTTTTATTTCTGCCCACAAGTGTTCAATTGGGTTTATATCCGGTGACTGGGGCGGTGTTTCTAAATAATGCGGGCTGTTATTTAATATCCATTCTCTGACGATGGCGGCTTTGTGCTTTGGGTCGTTGTCCTGCTGGAACATAAAGTTATCTTTGATTCCAAATTTCTCAGCACTTGGAAGTAAATGTTCCTTTAATATATTTAGGTACATCCAACGATCCATGGTACCATCTATAATGTGGTAATCACCAACCCCAGCCATCGACATACGGCCCCACACCATGAGCGACGCTCCCCCGTGTTTCACAGTTGGTGTTAAATTTTCTTTTTGAAACTCTGTATTCGGTTTCCTCCAAACTTTTTTGCTAGGTGTATCAAAAACACAAAATTTAGACTCGTCGGTGAATATAACACGTTTCCAAAAATCTTCTGTTTTTGAAACGTAGTTTTTGGCAAAGTCTAATCTCTTTTTACTATTTGTAGCAGTAATTAATTTAATGGTCTCTTACGACTAATATGGCTCTTCAAATTGGCTCTATGGAGTACCCGTCGACTTACAGTTTTGCCTAAGGCAGACAGAACTTTTTCCTGTATTTCAGGTGTTGAAATGTGGGGATCCTGCTTTAACAGTTCTAAGTATTCGACTTTCATCGCGATTCGTCAGCAGTTTCGGTCTTCCTTGTCGGGGTTTATTTACAATTGTTTTGTCTTCCTTAAACTTTTTTAATATATGCTGTACTGTAGATCGTGGTATATCCACTAATTTTGAAATTTCCCTTTCAGATTTTCCTTCTTTCCAAAATTTTACAATATATTCTCGTTGAGAAAGTGATGTTTCACGTCTCTTACAATTCATTATTATTATGACTACGATATTTTCTTTCTGGATGTCTGAGATCAACTGTTGCCTATTGCAGAAGTTTAACAAAACATAGTCGATCACAAAACATTCAGTTGTTTTAAAGTTTAGTTCGTTACTAAGCGTCTTATTCAGTGGACGAATACTTTTGCGTTCGAGTTTCTCGCCACATTATGATACATCGTTTAATTTTTCATTATGTATAACAGTTATGAATGCCGCAAAATGTTATCTTATTTTGTATAAATTAAGCTTCATTTCTGCATTTTTTTTTCAAATTTCATCTGCATATTTTCCTACTTTTACCTACAGATACACTGAGTGCGGTAGGTGGACCAACTGTAAGTATATACTTAGATACGTAGTTAAACAGGGGAACGCATCGGACGATTCGTTTTGTTCGTTTTATTTATTCGTCTCTCGTGGATACAGAGTAATTTCGGTATAGAATTTTAATTACAATATCCGACATTATTTTATAAAAGTAAATACAATTGTATATCGTTAACAATAATAATGCGCGTAAATCGGTTAACACACGCTTCAAACGTTGGCTAAAGCATTCACGTTCACTTACGCTTAATAAAGTGTTTAATTACAAAGGAAGCCGATCGCGAACGTTCCGGGGCTTATGTACAAAGTATCGTAGAAGTGGAGATCTCGATCCCGACAGAGGTACAGATGTACTAGGCCATTCGCGAAACGATTCGACAACCGAGACGCACGCTCGCAGATCAGAGATTTCCTTCTTTCTCGACCGACGTGTATCCCGCTTCGCGATCGTCCCCCGCTCTCTTTACCACTGTTAATCCTCGATCGCTAACCCAGAGACGCTTGAACCCAGATGTAAACGGAATTCTTCCGACATCACCGATTTCATGAGAGAACTGGAGATTGTACACAGACCCAGGCACACAGAGAGGGAGTAGGATTCAGGTTGCGGCGAGCATGCGATTCATTTGAGAGATCGAAACTCTTGTTACAACCATGGATGGAATTTCGGAGGGATTTTCGTCGCTCGTGCATCCCTCTGCAGCGTACTCTGACTCTCTCTCTCTCTCTCTCTCTCTCTCTCTCGCTGCGCGGAAAGAACTTTGATCGCTCCGATCGACTATAT